CGACCATTGGGCAATCTAATGTAAAGGAGATACATTATACATAGTGCAGTTCAACGACCATTGGGCAATCTAATGTAAAGCAGCTGCATGTCAGTCAGTTAGTAGATTGACCCATCGATAGGACATCACCATGGGTTGGAGGTATAGACTAGACCTAGGTACTAATTCATACAAGTATTGACTGCCCATGCACAAGGACCAAGGGAGACTTAGCATGGTGATGGTGCAAGTCAATGACCAATGGGCAATCTAATGTAAAAGAGATACATTATACATAGTGCAGTTCAATGACCATTAGGCAATCTAATGTAAAGCAGGTGCATTGTAAAGTGATGCATGTCAATCAATTATTAGATTGACCCATTGATAGACATCACCATAGAATCAAACTTTGGAAATCACTCCAATATATTGCATCACAATGACCTTTGGGCCTAGCTAGGCTCCTAAACATCTATAAATGGGGCAGTTCATGCATCTGATGAACATACTTCACAACTACAAATATTGGTCACCTTTTAATCGAATTTCTCATCTATTTTTTAGGTGGATGATGGATTAAAATGACGTTACCACTATTATACCTCAACAGAGGGATCTGCTTAACTTGATCCTTCATGAATTGAACACCCAGGATGCATAGTGGATTGTAAGTTCTAGCAACAACCTCTACCAAGCAACCATGGCCTTCATCATATGCGAACACGAGGCATCATTTACTAGCGAGTTCTATCCATCGTTGGGAGCTAGCATACAATCAACGATTGCTATAGGAATCTGCCACATTAGAGAAGCCCACTGCATTTGTGTGGTGGATGTCACATACATAGAATATTGCCATGTTCTTAGGAAGAGTCAAAACCTACAGAGAGACATAGACGCTTTGATGCAAGAGAATTTGGCTTTGAGGAAGTAGATTATGGAACTTGACCACGGAGTTACACAAATGAGGGTGTGTACCGAAAGTTGTGCATTTGGTACCACAAAGGGGATTAATCATATCTAGTAGTTGTATATTTTGACCAATAGGTGTATCATCCCTACCACCCCCACCCACCCAACCTAAACACTATCCCAATAGCATGGAAGCACCCCCACTAGGGTTTTAGGAACCCTCCCTTTCCTTTATGCTAGTATAACATGTAAGTGGAAATCTTAAATAGCAATGGACGTATGGAAGTTTTAATGGAAGTGGATGTGTATTGCTTTTACATGCGTCTGTACTACACACATGCCAATTTGATTTATCTATATGTCTACGTGCCAAAAATATTGTATAGGCCTGCACGTCATACGTGCCAAATAGCATGTCAAAATTGGCAAAACCACCCAATGCCCACTCTGACGGTTGCGGACATGTCTCGTGGACACCAAACCCACACCCTCCTATTGCCACTGATTTACCGAACATCCCAACACCTTCCGGCTGTCCATTGGCCCAACGGTGGGAAACGGTGGTTCTACAAAAGCATTGTTTCCCATCGTCGGGCTTCCCCATTAGCTCGGGGCATCTCCGCCTCCTATAGGAACGTCTTGGGGACCTCACCCCACTCTATGGAGGTGATATCGCCGCCCATCTACCTTCGCCTCTCACAGGGACATCCAGGGAACCTCACCCCACCCCGTGGAGGTGGTACTGCCACCCATCTACCCCTACGCCACCATTTTGGGATAACGTGTCAGAAATGGCAAAACTACTCACTAGTCACTCCGATAGGTGTGGACGTGTCCCATGGCCACCAAATCTACACCCTCTTGTTGCCACTGGCCCATCAAGCATCTCGACACCTTTCGGTTGCCCATTGGCCCAATGGCCAAGACCGGTGGTGGGAAACTGTGCTTTTGCAAAAGCATTATTTCCTACCGTTGGGCTTCCCTGTTAACCCAGGGCATCTACGCCTCTTGTGGGGACATCCAAGGGACCTCACCCCACCTTGTGGAGGTGGTATCGCCACCCATCTACCCTCATGCCCCCCTCCAAGATAGTGTGTTAGAAATGGCAAAACCACCCACTAGTTGCTCTGGAGGGTGCGGACGTGTTCCATGGCCACCAAATCCATACCCTCTTGTTGTCACTAACCCATCGAGCATCCCGACACCTTCCGGTCGCCTATCAGCCCAATGGCCGGACTGACAGTGGGAAACAATGCTTTTACCGTCAGGCTTCTTCGTTAGCCTAGGGCATCTCTGCCTCCCGTGGGGACACCCATAGGACCTCATCTGACCCCGTGGAGGTGGTACTGCCACCCAACTACCCTCGTGCCCCCCCCCCCTAGGACAGTGTGTCAGAAATGGAAAAACCACCATTGCGCCCCCCTTGAGATAGCGTGTCAGAAATGGCAAAACCACCCATTAGCCGCTCTAATGGGTGTAGGCATGTCCCGTGGCCACCAAACCCACACTTTCTTGTTGCCATTGGCCCATCGAGCCTCCTGACACCTTTTGGCCGCTCTTCAGCCCAACGGCCCAGACCGACAGTGGGAAATGGTGCTTTTGCAAAAGCACTGTTTCCCACCGTCAGGCTTTTCCGTTAGCCTAGGGTGTCTCCGCCTCTCGTAGAGACACCCACAGGACCTCACTGATCCCGTGGAGGTGGTACCACCGCCCATCTACCCCTACACCCCCTCCAGGACAGCATGTTAGAAATGAAAAAAACCACCCATTGATTGCTCCAACGGTTGCGAACGTGTCCCGTGGCCACCAAACCCACACCCTTCTGTTGCCACTGGCCCACTGAGCATCCCAACACCTTCCAGCCGCCCATCGGCCCAATGGCCCAGACCAATGGTGGGTGCACTGTTTCCCACCGTCGAGCTTCCCCGTTAGCCCACCGTTTTCTACCGTCGAGCTCCCTTGTTATCCTAGGGCTTCTTTGTCTCCTACAAGAACATTTCTTCGATGGATTTATAAATATTTCTTAGTGAACAAAAAAACCTTATAAGCCATTATATTTATATTTAAAAGTCCAACATAACTACAAAAGATGCCAAAAAAATTCACCAATACGAAAATGAAGGGGGGTGGGGGAGTCTTCTAACACAATTGTAAAACAACTGAACCAACATAATGACCAGTTATGACAAACTATTTCCACAAGACAAGTGTGGGGAGAATAATAATAAAAAGAACAAAAACAAGTCACCTAACCATACCCATCCCTTCAATAGTTAGCTCATGGGATGATTTTATAGACTCAATCTGCCTTAGGCAAACACTGACAGCTCTTTTCACATTTTAAAGGCGTTCCACAACTTTGCTATGACTATTTGTCGATGTAACCTCATCCAACCAACCTCGAGGAATCGCTCACTCAAAAAATTTGCAACTGCCCTGCTCTTGCAAATGCAAGAAATGTCTTTTGCAATATACATGCCTTACATCAATGCTAAAAAATAATATCGTCCCCCTAAAAATATTACCCCATATTTTAATTGACAACTATAAAACAATTTATACTAGTTATTCTAAGTTGTTTAAATTCGAATGATGCATTTTCGCTTGCAATAGCAATACTTGGTATCATACTACAAGCTACTGGGGGATTGATCCCCGACACTCCATTGGCTACTCATACCTACAAATGTTCAATAACCCACTCCATATCTTAATCAACCTTAAACAATTCAATAACACTCAATTAAATAACATTAAATAATTCATTTACAGGTCCTTACCACACTCAATCAAGCAAAAAACAATGAAATAGAGTAAATGGGGATGAACGAAAATGCAAGGGCATCCAACGGTTGAAACCTAGGGATGTAGGAAGCCTATGAACAAATGGGGCCTCCAACGGCGGTTGAATGACCGCTAAACCGAGCTTCGAGCTTCCTTCCAAAGGTGAACACATGGTCCCTCCAATGGTTGGTGAATGGTAAAACGAGCTTCAAGCTTCCTTCCAATGGTGAACGAAGAATGTCATCGACGGTTGGTGAATCCTTCCAATGTCAAAACTTTGGAATAAGGGAGCGAACTTTGTTTTCTTCTTCTTTTTTGCGGCTCTAAGAAACCTTCCAACTTCTAAACTTTGGGATGAAAGAACCAAATCAATGTCTTTGTTTTCTTTGAACGATGGGTAAATCGACCTTCCTTCGGCCAGTGGCGAAACTGGACCTCTACCGGACGATGAACGCAACGAGCTCTAAGAAATCAAAATGGGGAAGACGGTTGAAGCTTCAGGAGAAGGGAGTGAAGAAATGTATTCAATTCCTTCTTTTTGCATCCAGGAGTATAACGATAAAAACAATTTACACTTTTTGGCTGATAGGGGGTGGAGTTGAAAAAATTTTAGAATTCTTAAGTGGGGACGAGGTTTCCAATTCCATATTGGCCTCTTTTATTTTTCAAATTCTGAATTGTAGTTGGCCAAAGAAACCTCTTTTTTATGAGAAATTTCCAATTTAGTACCCTGAACTTTGGGGGTAGTGTCAAGTTAGTACCCAAACTTTCAAATGTGTCATTGTAGTACCTAAACTTTAAAAAAATGTCAAGATGGTCCCTGTTGTTAACCGACCGTCAATTATCTATTGAAAATGTCAAAACTACCATTCAAAAGAAGACACCGTTCATTGTCTTCTACCTTACCAGTTATCTTTAAAGAAAAAAGAGAAAAAGCATGAAATATGATAGAGGGAAACAATAATTGAAAGCAAAAAAATAATTAGACAAGAATGCATTTTAGATCTAAAGGTAGAAGACAATGACTTCCTTAGTCTAGAATATCAAACACTTCAACTGGTTCAATCTCAGGGTTGAAAACAATGACCGAAGGATAGCTTTGACATTTTCAACAATAAGAGGACAATCAATTAAGGGTAAGGACCAAATTGACACTTTTTAAAAATTTAAGTACCGGAGCGATACATTTGAAAACTCGGATACTAACTTGAAAATTTCCCTTTTTTTATAGGTGGATTGTGTCAGTGACGTCCATGCTACCTACATTTATCAAAAAGGCCAATTTACTGACTCTATTACCAAACTTATTAAACTGTTTTTCCCGCTAGCCACGTTTTCCTTCTTGATAAAAGCTTCTCTCTCTTTCTCATTTCCCATTGGCACTCGGGAATGTTTCGCAGTTCACACAACGAGGAATTCGCAAATTTCCCTCGATCGAAGAGGTAACCGCCAGATTCTTTCACTTCTTCCACCGATTTAATATTCTAAATTTCAACCACCGTTTGTGTTCTTTGTATCTGTATAATTCGTATCTGCATCGAAGCTTCTCTCTCTCTCTCTCTCGCTCTCCCTTTGCCATTTTGATTCTGTCTATCGCTGATTGAACGAACTTCACGACAATTTTTTGCAGTGTGAAACAAACAGTTGGTGTGTTTTTATTTGGGTTTTATTCGAAAAGCTTCTGCAACCTCCTTTGATTTTAGGAATCCAATAAGTTTATTAATGTGTGTGTGTCTGTGTTCGTTTGGAAGCTTGGAGTTTTTCTGGTAAACTGGAAACATGGAATTTAAGTGGTGATCTTGGAGTTCTACAGAGGGAGGGAATCCTAAATTTTATAGGCCTGTAGGTGCCCAGTGCCCTGCCAGGATTCAAATTCTCTTCTATGGAGCAGCCAGGGAGAAGCCAAGCGGGGGAGAAGGCTATTGATTGGGATCAAGCGCTCCACCTATACGAAAGAATAATAGCTTCTGAGAATGAGTCCTTACAAATAATGGCTACCGTCAAGCTCGGTCGTCTCTCAAGTTCTGCACCTGAGACTGTCTTATCACGGACCCTTCCGATCCTCGTAGACCTTCTCGGTAGGCCTCTGAATGATTCCGGTCCTTCAATTCAATATGCTGCTGCGTATTGCTTGAACTGCCTTTCCCGTCGAGACGATGGTTCAATGGCTGTGGCCATTGGTCAATCGGGTGCTATCCGTTGCCTCCTGGGGTTATTACCACAATCTGAAGCCAGCTTCCGGAGAGTCTTGATGAAATGTCTTTGGAGGCTCGTCACGGTTGGTAGTGTTAACAATCGCGTCACTGTAGCTAGAACTGGTGGATTGGAAGTTCTTATCAATATGTCGGCATCATTCACTGATAATACAAGGCGTTACTTGTTAGAGATCGTGAGTGCATTGGCGTTGCTGAGAGAGGTGAGGAGGGTTATTATCAATCTGGGTGGCCTTCCTTTGCTTGTTGAGTCTGCTAGAAGTGGCAGCATGGTTTCTAGAGCCAGAGCTGCTCAGGCAATTGGGTTACTGGGGGTCACAAGAAGAGTTCGACCCATGCTTGTTAATCTTGGTGTGATACCACTGCTTATAGAATTGCTGCAGGTTGGAGATATCTCCGCCAAGTTGGTAGCTGGTAATGCACTTGGTATAATCGCATCCCACATCGATTATATTAGATTGGTTGCTCAAGCTGGGGCAATTCCTTTATATGCAGAGCTTCTCCGAGGAACTGAGCCCCTTGGAAAAGAAATTGCAGAAGATGTGTTTTGTATCTTAGCTGTTGCAGAAGTAAATGCAGCATCTATAGCCCAACACTTGGTGGGGATTCTTAGAGGAGATGATGATGAAGCCAAGGCTGCAGCTGCAGGTGTCCTGTGGGACCTGTCGAGTTACAAGTATTCTGTATCTGTAGTTGGAATCTCTGGTGCAATTCCGGTCCTGGTTGAACTTTTGCAAGATGGAAATACTGATTTAAAGGAGAGGGTTTCTGGGGCTATTGCCCAATTGAGTTATAATGAGGGAGATCGAGCAGCTATGGCTGATGCAGGTGTCATTCCACTTCTCATTAGTTTGTTGCAGGGTGAATCTGAGGAACTGAAGGATAATGCAGCCGAAGCCCTGATAAATTTCTCAGAAGATCCATTACAACACGATAGTGTATCTGAAGCATTCAACAGTCCTTCCTTCCTGAACATACAAAATAGGCTCATTCGAATCCGTGCAACTGATGAGCATATGGTTAGATCTTTGAGACAGATTAGCACTGAACAATTCATATGGGACCCGGATCTTTTCTGACTTATATTTGAATACTCCTTTGTTTTTGTATATATGGTTGTTTATGCTTGATCTCATTTGGTTGGTACTTTGGAACAATAACGGGGAAGAAGGAGGCACTGAATGTTGGGGGAGGGGGAATAGTGCTGGGGTAGGAGAGAGAGAGGCAGGCTGGCCATCTGACATATTACAATTGCTCATTGTATATTGTTTGGGTGATGACTTTTAATGAATAGTTTTTTGTTCATCATTGGTTTTACATATTGTTGTCATGCTATATCATACAACTGTAGATATAAGGGATAAATACAAACTTTTAACAGAACTATGCATCAGGTTTATTAGAAAATGAAATGAGAAATCCTGTAATATGTTGGAATAGGGCTCCTAATAGATTCTTTGACACCTCAAGTTCAAGGGAGACAAACTTGAATGTGGACCAACATTTTTGCTATGTTGTATATTTCACTCTTCTATGGAATGAAATTATTTTTGATATCTTCTGAAGGACTACACAATGGGGGTAGCCCATTCCCCAACCCAGGTGCAGGCAGGATTCGATCCCAATTCTCTGCTACGACCAGAAGGAGACCTTACCAACCAGCTGGTTGGCACCTTGCTATGGAATGAAATTTTATTCTGTTATTTATCAAAAGAAAAAAGTTCAAGAGACACAAACTTGCAGCTCCCACTCCTCTTTCCCCTGCTGTCTTCCTCAATTCTTCATTCCAAATTGGAGAGTGGGGTTTGCCCATTCCCATTTCCTATTCCTAGCACTGAAACACAAAATGGGATGATGTCATGGAGTTCATCTCTGCTTGGTCATGCTCTTCCTTTTTCTGTCCTGTTTTAGAACGAGATGAAACGTCCCCTTCTCTTCTGCTATCAACCTTATAATGTCAATGTTTACAACCTCAAGCTCATAATTCCTATGCACGCTCGAGTTCTCTATTGGCCATCTGGCCAAAATCCATTGCTTGCTTGAGGAAGACATTGCAGTGACCTACAAACTCATAATTGGATCAGGCTTTTCTGTATACTCAAACTCATAATTGGAGAGTGAAATTGATGTTTGAAGCCAATGGGTCCATTCAAAGTATGAATCACTAAGGTTATCTAGAAAGTAAAGGTCACAATCAATTGGAATGAGCTTCACCTGATCAAACCTCCAAACCACATCAAGCTTCCTCACCTCTATCCTATGCATGGCTAAATGATAACCATACCCCTTCACCCAAAGTGATCCAAGTGAAGGGGACCAAAGATAAACAATTAAATTTCTGAAATAGTCACGTACAAGAACACAAAGTAGTCCTGCTTCTGTATAACAAACAAAGCCCTTATCCTCAACTGTTGGAGAACACAAAGTAGTCCTCCAAACCACATTGTTTGATGCAAAAGTTCAGCATGTGTTGGCATCAGAGCACTCTTACCCTCAACTGTTCCTGTGATAGTAAGCACCTTTGAGGCCACTGCATATGGGGATATCATATCAAAACCAATCTCTATCACCATTACAATATCCTTTCACCAGTTGTTTCATTTTAGCAGAGTCAATAAGCTTTTGTATACGAAGCTATTACATCAGTAGAAGGGGTTAATCATTTTGAACAGTGTTAATATTATTCCTCAGATTTTGTTTGGGAAGAGTGCATATGCTGGTTTGGTGCATATATGTACTCCGGTTGGATTTTTGCAAATTTGGAAGAGTGTAAAAACATGCTGAAGATTGACAAAACATGCATTCTTGTCAGAGAAGAGAGAATGCCTCAATTTTGAGGGTAAAACTTACTTCAATTTTTTCGAAGCAGACTTTCCTCTCTTAGTCGATCGAGGGAAGCAAGCCAACCATTTTCATTCGTCATTGTAGCTTCCTGCAGACTTTGACTGGAGTGTGTCAATAATGGTTAGTTCTGAGCTCCAATATCTGCTGTTGTCAACTTCTCTATATAGCCAAGAAATCTCAAATCTATACCCAGATCTGAGCTCCCGCCTTCCTCATCGCAACCAAACCCAGATCTGAGCCTGGAACTTTCCCATCACATCTCTATTGTCAATGGTAAGCTCAAATCTTGTTAAATCTGCTTCATTTTCCTCCAATCTGGAATATAGGCAGTGAAATTCCTTTTTTGGTTTTTTTCTTTATGTTTATTTCATTTATCCAAATTGGCCTTCCTCCTTGGAACACCTGTGCTTCCAATGGTAATATCTTACCTCAGATCTGCTTCTATTCTCAAATCTATCAATTGTTGTCTCAGAAAATGCATTTTTGATGTTTTCAGGTCGCATACACCACGGAAAATGATGTCTCTTCCTTATATGCTTCCATGGACGGAGGAGATCTGATACTGCTGGAGCATTTTTCTCAGACATTTAACATCTGAGGGTTCAGTCTTCTTGATTTTTTCCAGATCGGCGAAGTATGATCTCAATATATACCTGTATAAATGTTTTTCTTTCTCTTATCATATTATCTTGTTATGTTTGTTCTTCTCTGTACATTCACAGTTTTTTAGGCTCCGTTTCAAGTTTTTAAGAGTAATTTAATTAAGTATCATACCTTTATCCATATGCATAATTTAAGAATAGTTTTGGTTGATGCAGTATATGGGTTACTTTTCAAAAGGAATTGGTGTAGATGTTTGCTGTTGTACAACATATCTAGATTGGACCTTTGTCCATCCAGCACACTTAACTACATTTGCCTATGACAAGCCAATTTGAGCTGTTTATTGCCCCCTTACAGGATTTTGTAGTAAGAAATTTGACTCCTTGCTCTGCCCTTTTTATTGTTGAAAATTTGAAGTCTGAAATTTTAGTTGTAACAAGGAAGTATTTGATAGTGTAAGGTGGAGTTGTTCTGGTCCTTTTGTTAAAAGAAGGTATAGTTTTCTTTTTTTTTTTTGTTGACTTAGTTGAGAAACTCCCCACCAAAGATGCCCTAACCAGAAAACCTAATGCCTAAAGCAAGCCTTCTTGTAGGAATTTTTTTAACTAAAAAATATAAGCTTTTGAGGTGAAGGGGTGCCCAACCCACACCATTCCGTCTTGTGGATAGTTCAGATTTTCCATAGCATTCCTCCATGTGGCAAAAATAGGTGAGTCCTTTGGGGAATAAGAAACCTTTTTCTTTGTTCAATGCATGATTTTTCTAAATTTTGAGTAGCTTAATATCTGATATCTGCAAAATAAAGTTGTGCATTGATTGCATAAAAAACAATAGCTTGATTATGATAAGATGGTTGTTAGTTCACCTTTCTTTTTCTTTTTTATTTACTTTTTATTTATAATTTTGGATCAACATCCACTTGAATATTGTGAGTTATATGATCAATAGAAGCTTTAATGTACCTAGAACTATGTTTGGTCAATAACCTTGATCTAGGATATGTTGTGATGGTTCTGCCCAATGGAAATTGTTCCATGGATATTGTTCACCCAATAAATAAGGAAGATCAAGCTTCAAATTGTTCCACAGATGGAATGAATTATTATAGAGTATTTCGAAGTAGAAGGTTTGGATTAGAAAAAACCTTGGCTACTGAAACTCATGGATTGGATTAGAAAAGAAAGGGTTGTTCTCTAGATCCTTTAAATGTGTGCAATAAAAATCTGCTAAAAATATATTTGTCTTCAACTCATTTTATTTTAAAAGTTTGACATGAAGTATTAATTTCTGATTTTTTTGAACATCTCTCAGAAATTATGCAAAATTCACATCTCATGGTTTTTGTTGAGCAAGAGAAGAGAAGAGAAAGAGAGGAGAGGCGAGAGGACTGAGAGCCCAAAAGAACACAGCAGGTGTGTGCAGTATGTTATTATTTATACTAGGCTGGTCGTACAACATAAAGTATGAAGAAATTACAAAAGTACCCTTGCGGTACTAAACATGTGTACAACAATATCTATCAACACTCCCCCTCAAGTTGGAGCATAGATATCAATCATGCCCAACTTGTCACAACGATCATGATGCTTGGAATGGTGTAGCCCTTTTGTAAATATGTCTCCAAGTTAGTTCTCAAAGCTGACATAGGGAGTACATACTTCGCCTGTGATGACCTTCTCTCTGATAAAATGCTTGTTAACTTCAATGTGTTTTGTTCTATCATGTAGCACTGGGTTAGCAGCAATGTTTATAACTGCTTTGTTATCACAGAATAGAGTCATAGGCTTGTCCACTGGGAAACCCAACTCACTCAACAAATTCTTTATCCACATAATTTCAGCCACTCCATGAGCCATTGCATGATATTCAGCTTCAGCACTGGATCTAGCCACCACATTTTGCTTTTTACTCCTCCATGTAACAATGTTCCCTCCTATAAAAGTGCAGTAGCCACTAGTAGACTTTCTGTCACTTTGAGATCCAGCCCAATCTGCATCTGTATAAACTTCAACTTTCAAAT